TCGTAGTCCTGATGACACAGAAATACTGACTGTAATCGATTTAGTTGTCCGGAAAAACAGTATGGTGTATCATTGTCTTTAACAAGGAGATTTACTAGTTTCCAGTGAAGTCTGTGCTTCAGTGAGCTCACTGAGATCACATTAGTGACAATTTTCAGTATCTGTTCTAAAACTGTGTATTTCTGAAAAAAAAAGTCGAGGTGTCACCTTTCATCTCGACTCGCTTCGCTTCTTTTCGAGCTCTGTAATGAGATATCATATCGTCTCACCGATAAAATAAGCGTGTGAGACCTAGCATATATGTAGTTTTCTGACAAATTATTCTTATCATTCTTCAATTTTCTATAATTTCCTAATGTCTTTCATTTCCTGTGGTTGTGATAAATTATTCATAACTAATTGTTTAATTTAAAATAGATTTCGTTTAGATAAATTTAAAAAAAGCTGTTCCGAATAATCTTATGTTAATCACCGACATCGTTCTCTTTCAAACAAATAAATAAATTTATCGCCTATAGTTATTTTATATATTTTTAATTCTTAGTAAAACTTGTCAACATAACTGTTGTTAAACGTACGCGTAGAATAGGAACATATTACCATATCTTATTACAGTAAACGATGCATTGTGTTACATCGCAGGAGCTCTTCTTTCCCTTTCATTGATAACTAATTCATTCTTCCAATGCGAACGGCAATTGACTTAAAACAAAATTAATATCGATTAATTCCTTGACTGTTTGGGGTCTATGCATGTGATTAATTCAGTTTCAATTCGTTTTATACTTTCCACGATTAATCTTTATTGACTAGTATTCAGTAAATATTCAGCCTTTTCAATTCCATAAAAGTGTATTTCATATTGTTCAGTTTAATTCATTATACTTTATATGCTCTGCTTATGGAAAATATTCAACATAGTTAGTAGTTTTTATTGATAAAATTGAAATTTGAATTATTCAAATAATTGATCATCAAAGATGTGTAAATTTTGAATGTTTTTAAATCTCGTTCATAATTAGAGCTTTAAGATATTTACTGTAATCATTTGCCATAACTTACTAGTAAACTATGAATTATTCACATTATTAATTTTTAAAACTATTCAAGATTTTTCGAACCGTATGATGCGGAGATTCTTGAAAACTATCTTGAACGGTAATATATGTACGTTATGAATAATAGAAAAATACACATTATCTCTTTTTATGAATTGTTCAAGTGATGAACGAAATCGGATAAAATCTAACCTTTCAATTTAAAAAAATTGCAATAAATTGCTGTCTGTTATTGATAAACCAATAGATGATGAAATCAAAAATTTTAATTTAGGTAATGCATCAGTTCATTGTAATCTTTTTCATTCACAGAAGGACATTCTGTGAATTGTATACCTGTTACTGTTATGACACCTGCGTAGATGAAATCATCTATTGTTTTGTGCATCTTCGAGTATACAAGGAAGCCTGGTAAGCAAGCTGTAGAATTTCTGTTAAAGTTATTAAAATCGAAATCATAGTGAGTAAAAGACAAAAAAGTTTAGTAACTTATATGTATTTCGACTATTTCTATAGTAATCGTCGAAGTCGTCTAAAGACAATACGTACGAGAATTATATGTATATTTAAGTACAGAAAAAACGAAAGAATATCCTTGATGTTATGATCGATCAAATATTGAATGTCAAGGACATTCTTTTGTACATTTATCTACGAATATGATGCTTGTATATTGTTTTATATGACTTTGATGATGGCTATAAAAAAAATGGTAACAGCCGTGAATGTCCTTTAAAAACTGTCCTTGAGGAAATGTCCCCGGGTTTCTGTCCTTGAAAAAATGTCTTTTACTATAAATGTCCCTTACTATAAATGTCCTTTAAAAATGGTCCTCTTCAGAAAAGTTCCTTGAAAAAATGTCCTTCATTATTAAAATGTCTTTTTAGTAAAACATTAACAAAACTAAAGATAAGGTTACACTTATGTGTTTGATTTATTATAATAAATTAACTTTTATTTTATTTTTTATTTGCAACATAAAAAGAAAGACCACGTAAAAGTTCTTGTACTGTAATTTTGTTTTGATTAAATCGATTATAAAGTTCTTTGATGCGTCGTTCAGATGTCCTTGTTTGAGATCTTTTTGTTCGAGGCGGCATCCCACTGTTAATTTGTTGAATTAAATCATGAATAGTATGAACTTCTTCTCGAATTGAATCTATGAAATGCCAAATATTCGGGTGAATTTTCTGTAGACGTCTTTTAAATCTGTTGTTGTAGCCTAGAAATATCGCAATATAATTAATAGAAAATACTATTTGCTTTCAAAAAACCTTCACTATAATTATTTGTTCGATCAGGTATTTCATAAACATTCCATATCGATACTTGACGCATCCAATGGTTCTTGAAATATTGTAATAAACCCGAAATTTCTTCACGTTCATCATCATTTAATTCTTGACCAAGTTCATTAAATAATACTTGAACATGTGATGGAGGTACTAATGCTAATGCCATTGCTTGTTTAATAACATTTCGAACCATCATATTATTCAGATAACTAGATGATAAACCTTGTGATTGAACATGTCTATAAACTGATTCAGAGAAATGAAAAAAACATCCCTTTTGGATGGCTTTCTCCGGGAACTGCAATTTAAAAAAGTAGAAAAAGTTGTATTAGCAAAAGTATAGTTGTTTTCGACTAAAATTGTACTTGTATTGAAATTGCCTTTGTAAGACCTGGTTCAAAATCTGTCATTATATTCACAGGATCTAATGTTTTATTAAATCTTTTTGCGTGATGAAATAAGATGTTGAATAAGTATAAATAACTTGGTGTTTTTCGATCAGGAAGAAGTGCGTAAACGACGGGTACACCTATCGTAAATAAAAGATAATTTTATAAGTATGAGTAATTTTATTTCCAAGTAGTTTTGTATCGTAAATATAGCTTACAAGATTCATGATATATTGTTTGTATAATAAAGACTTGAGCAAAATGTGGAGGTGAAGTGGAAAATGTACCATCCATATGTAATCGTTCACTGTTAAATAATAAATGAAGTTGAATATCTGATGACCAAATTAAAATTCTTCCTGATGGTTGTATATCATCTGATGAATCAAATTGAAAATGTGGATCTGTACTATCATGTAATAATAAACGATCATGATCAAGATAATCTCTTGTGTACTTATCGGGTATGACAAAAGATGATGAATTTGGTATCGAAGGAAGATTTTTTTGCCGAACATGACTTAAACCACGACCTAAAAAGAGGAAAAAAGAACATTAAGTACATTTATCACACACATACGTGTTTATACTATACCAATTTCAAAAATATTTGGTAAATTAGCTAGTGCATCACCTGTTAATAAACCATTTCGAACTTCTTGTTCAGCAATTTCTTGTAATGGTACTAATTCTGTTTCAGCTCTTTGGCGCATTTTTTCTTTAAGATCACGTATTTCTAATGCAGCAGGATTTGGAAGATGTTTATGATTAATATTTTTTCCAGAATAACGTATAAA